TTCAGATAAGATAAACCAGATCCTTTTTAAATGAGGTGGGAAAAAGCCCTGAACAAATTAAAAAATAACTCTTTGCTTTCCAACAAGGGAAGCACTACTGTAAAACTACATACTGAACCCTATCCTAGATGTCCTTCAGAGAAAGTGCATGAAGCCTACACAGATGAGCTACCCTCTGCCTCCTCCTCAGCTTCTACTGCTTCTACTACAAGCCAGCAAAAACTCTGGAATCTTGTCAACCACATCCTGAAGTGGTAACACTTTGAAAACAAAGGGCAGCAACAAAAAAAAAAGACCCCTAATACACCAGCTTTCGTTAGCAACTCCAGTGTACACGCCAAGGTACTAAATAGCATTCAGGAAAAAAACTATTTAGCTTCAACCCATAACACTTCACTTGTGAATTTGTATCATTTTTCAAAGTGAGTGGCTGCACGGTGTTTGGATGCCAGCCAGGTTCCAACCATGACAGTCCTCTCACAGACTTATTACTGCCAGGTCCCTTCTGGTTTATGAGCCCTGTAACAGTTATTGAATGTTTCTCTTGTGCCACTGGATCAGGCAGGGCCTGATTCAGTACAGGTTAAGTTTCAGCTCCATGGAATAAAAGAAGTTAAAAGCAAAGACCTCTTGAAGGGGAAAGAAACAAAAATAAAGTGGAAAAGTAGAATTTAGGCAGATTAAAATGTATTGTAATGACATGTCACATTTTGTAAATGAATTAAGTCTGTGGAGAAGTTCTGCTTTATCGCAAAAGGACAGTGTTCAGACCACAAATAACCAGAGAACTTCTCCCTTCAGTGCAGCAAGAAATAGCAACAAGATGACTCAGTCATCCCACAGAGCACACAGGGATATACCACGATTCAGCTCTGGCCAGGATCCTGATCAGCAAATCCACACAGTGATATACCCACCAGTCCATAGTGAAACAGTGCTGCTGCCATTCGACACTGAGTTAATTTACTCCCTCAAGCTGTTCTAACAGCAGAGATCTTTTTCTCTCAGCGCAACTTGTGGAATCAGGATTAAAGTCTAAAGTATACTTTCAGTAAGCTATTATTATTGCTGAGTTTCTTATAACATCAGTGTCATGGGTTTGAGTCTGGTGGGGTTTTTTTATGGTAAAAGCAGGGGCAGACTCATGAAGATTCAAGTGCCTCCCCCACCCTGAGGTAGGAGCTGGACCTGTCTCTGGCCAGTGCCAGGCCAATCAGCACCTCTGCCATCAAGGTATTTAAGAGGTGACCCCACTGTCCTCTTTCTCTCTTTTGGTTTTATCTTGTATTGATCCGCCCTGTCTTTAATGTGGGGGAGTTTTACTGTTGGAGGAGGAGAAGGTGAGAGAAGAATAAAAGGAACATCGAAGAAAGAGGAGGAGAAGAGTCCCAGAAGACAAGGAGAGGGAGAAGGCTCCCTGAAGCTCTATGGTGGCTGAGTTGGCAGCAAGATGAGCCTGCCAGTTGAGGGAATCAATAGTGGTGAGAACATCCAGGATGCGTCCGTACGTGCAGAGCCCCATGTGAGAGGGCAGAGAGAGATCAAGCAATCACCAGGGCACCCGAAGCAATCTGTGGCCATGAGGGACTCACAAGGAGGAAGAGGATTGCCTCCTGTGAGGTGGACACCACGTGGCAGGAAGGGGAGACTGTGAGGAGTCCTCAGGAAGGAGCTGCCGTGGACAGTGAGTAATGGCCAGATGGACTGCCCCCCCCCACCCTCTGCCCCCCTTGCACTGATGGGGTAGAAGGCAGCCGGGAATATGTGAACAGGGGAGGGGGGTGAAGGTATTTAAGGTCGAGTTGTATTTATTTGACATATTCTTCTCACTACCCTACTTTGTAAATGGTGGCGGTGAAATAAACCTATGTTTTTCTCCCCAAAACTCTTTGGTTCTTTACTTGTCATCTTAAATGGTAGATTATCATCCTTCCTATCCTTAATCTCAAACCCTTGAGCCTTTTTAGTTGACTTGTCTCCCTCCACATCACTGTGGAAATGAGGGTGGAGAAAGGAGTGAGCTGGAGACCTCGTGGCTTTTTGTCCCATTCGCTTGAACCAACGACGATCAGCTGAATGTCTAAGAGTCCAAAAACTTCAGGCCAAGCATTGCTTGACATAAAAGCTGGATTTCACGCCTGCTCAGTGGGACCCTAACTAACAAACAACGTTGCTAGCTACAACTGATTTTTTTATAAATTTATAAATTTTTTTTAAAAATCAATAAAACTTCTAATTTTATTGTTTTAAAATTT